CACTGTCTGTCCATGTTAAATTGTAAACAAGTACAGGTCGCATTTTTGATTCGAATTGGATAAAATTTGGCACAGCTCATTTATTGGCCCAAAGACGAACCCTATTGAAATTAGGAAAAATCGGTTCAGATTTCGATATAGCTCCCATATATATTTTCGCCCGATTTTATGTAAATGGAGCACCAAAGTCCCCATATATCCTTCGATGTGCACGAAATTTGGCATAGCGTACTAAATTATGTGTAGAATGGTCTGTGTTACGTTTCCTGAAAATCGATTCAGATTTAGATATAGCCCCCAAATCCAAATATATCTTTCGATTTGCACGAAATTTGGCACGGCGTATTGAATTGGGTCTAGAATGATATGTGTTTAGTTTCCAGAAAATCGGTTAAGATTTAGATTTGCGCGAAATTTGGCATAGCGTCTGAATTATGCCTAGAATGATGTATGTAAAGTTTCTTGAAAATCAGTCCAGACATAGATATAGCTCCCATATATATTTTCGTCCGATTTAATGTATATGGTGCACCAATATACAGATTTTGGTCTAGCCGTACTTTTCTCAATTTTTTCCACCCGCAATTTAATTTCATTCCCTAAATATTTTTTTTTTTATAAAAGTAATATTGCAATTTTTCTAAAAGCACATCAATCAAAGTGGACAAAAAATATTCACTTTCAAAACCATTTACACACAAGTACAGTGTATGTATATAGACAAATATATATTTACATTAAAAAAGGGGGGCGACATGACGCGTCGGGGGGTGTTTTGTTTATACAGGTCAAATTATTTGGCTTCCTACATTGATGGTGATGTTGTTGCCGACGACAATGCGTCTTCTTTGCACATTTCGGTTAAAAATAACACAACGCAATATTGTCACTTTTCACTGTGGTGAAATCGAAAAACTAAAACCAAAAAAAAAAAAGAAAAAAAAAACAAAAAAATAGAAAAAAGAAACGAAATGAAAATTCTTTCGAAATAACGTCGGCAACGCAATTCGATGTTTGTCTCCCACCTTTGATGTATTTTTATTTTCTACTCTTGATTTTATTTTCAGTTTTTTTTCTTCATAAAAATTACACTTTCAAAATACAGGGAATATACAATTTTGTAAAATAAAATAAAAAAAAACATCACAAAAAATATTCAATAAAAGAGAAAGAATGAATAAAATACATTATGACTAATAAAATATCGTATTATGCGGTGGCTATTCAGACACTATTCATGTTCTATAAACAAAATTTATTCAGCCCACTCTAATTGTCTACCCGTCCCATCTGCAGCACCTGGAATCTTGTGGAAAATGAATCTAGATTTTTTTGTTTTCTTTCAACACTTTCACGCATATTTTCCTCGGCCCACATATTCTATGTGAGTGTGTATGGAGAGAGGAGAGTGCGGTTCGAGGGAACGAGAATGAAATCAAAAAAACAGAAAACAACAGCATAAAAGTAATCTAACAAAAATAGATGCGTTTTATTTTTAGTAAACAAAATACTCAGAAAAATGGAGGGGAAAATGAGAAGAAAAACAAAAAATATATATTTTGACGGGAAATGCATTACAATCGAGGACTGAAATCCAGCCGGACAGACAATTGATTATGTTTTTCTTTTCATGGAATTTCAAAATATCCATTTGTATAGTTTCTAATTGTCAATTAGTATAACCCAGGTCGTGTACGAATAATGTCCAGATTCCCTTCTATTGCTAAATTTTCCTTCTTCCAGTATACGAAGAAAACCATGATTATCCGACCATATGATACCCTACACAACTTCCACCAAAATCGAACAAATATTTCGCGATATTTGCACCCTCTTGGCCGACTAGAGGCCAACAGCCCTTCTTATTACTTGTCCAGATTCCCTTCGCCGTGGGTTGTGTTGTGATGTTCGGCTTGCAATTATGGCCTATAGATCGACTCGAAAAAGCACAAAAAACTAAGTTTCAAAACGAAACAAACAGCGCTATATTTCCGCCATCTAGTGTGGTAATGGGTTACTAAATAATACATGAATATGTAAGCACCTATAAATATTTAAGTCCGAGTACACACGACAATAAAATTTGTATCAATTTAAAGGTCAACCACTCCTCTTGGATATATTATCGGGTCTATTTTCTTCAGGGGTAAATATATACGCTATAGAATACAAATTTTGTCATTTTGTCAGGGTTGACCCGATCCCCTTCTCCATGTGAAAATTCGCGACGTTTGGCCCATAATTGCGGCCTCTGGAGCGACAAGAAAAAAGTTTTTGGTCCATTTCATCCCCTAAATATTAACCGATCTTCATTGTCAAGAACCCGTCCTACATGCAAAATTTCGTGACAATTGGTCCATAACTGTGGCCTGTATCGTGTTTACAAATTATAATGGACAGACGGACGGACACACATGTCTAGATCGACTCAGCTGGTCGATATATGACGATTGGTATACTAAAGGTGGGTCTAGGGCCAATATTTTGCGGCGTTACAAATTCTTGGGGGCTGCACAAAGCTGTAATACCCTGACAACATAGTTGTGTAGGGTATAAAAACAACACTTCCTATCGACAGCTCTCATATAGCCCCATGCCATTACAGAGCCTCTTCCGTACTGTTTTACGGTCGGAATTGTGTGCTTAGGGTCCACGTATTTATTCGCCCTGCGTCATACTTTACTTGGTCCATTCGACCCAAACAAGTTGAATTTCTTTTCACCAGAAAAGGTAACAGTTCTCCAAAATGCAAAATTCTATTTTTCATGTTATTCATGTTATGGGTTTTTGGGTTTATGAATGGCATGAAGACCATTGTTACGCAAAATTCTTCGAATTGTTTCATACTGTCAACGCAGATCGGTCTGTAAATTGTTCGGAGAATTTTTCAATGCCTCATCTGCTTGCGCAAGTACCCATGGGTCAAGTCCATATACCAGCCCGGGTAGTATCAGTGTCTTGTAGAGTGTAAGTTTGGTCTGGCGAGATGTGCCATTGTTTCTAATTTCTTAGTTAGACCATAGCAGCATTTTTTGGCCATTACTACCATTCTTCGAATCTCAAAAATGATGCTATTTGCTTTATTTATAGCGCCCTAGTTTACTGAATGCCTTGAGCTTTGTCACAATCAACTTGGTTTTTTACCATTTTATACCAAACCCACATTGGCAGATGTTCGATCCGTTAGGTGGATAGGCTCGTTCAGTATTGAAGAGCTCCGAGAGATTTTTTCCGACTTTAACTGTTGGTCTTGGGCCAGTCAAAGATATCCTGCATAGCCGTATCAATTTTGCTAGAATGCCGAACGCAGACATGGCTTGAAACATCTTACAGCGAAAATAATAAGTAATATTAATGTCTAGAGGCTGGATAAACTTCCAATAATTCGAAAAGGTTAGAAAAGCTGGAGTTGGAATGTACTGAAGACAAAGACAACAGAAGTTGTTTCAGTCCACCACGCGCCCTTGTATCGATCGAAATCGACTTACCTTTTATATAAGGGGATTAGCGTTAAAATTCGTCATTTTTTACAAACTAATTTCCCCTTGAGCGGGATAACGCACAATTGCAGTAATTTTTCAATACCGCTTCCTAACCTACCTACCTTACTGTGAGGAGACTACGAAAAATTATTCCATAGCCACATTTAGTATGCTAAGCAATCCCTTAAATAATTCGTGTCTTACACGTCAACTAAATTTACTCACTCAAACTATTTATTGAGCTGTGCAGTACACAGGCTCAACATCAGCGTCGATGGTACCTTCGATGATAATACATCATCATCATACAGAATTCCTTCATCTCGCAACTTAAGCAATGCCTGCAGATAGATTCCGTTGCAGTCTTTTGTTGGCCTCATTCCCACGTATGCAGCCAATATTCTTCTCTTCCATGCTCTAATTCGTTCCATTTGAGCTGACGATATGTCTGCCGAAGCGGCGAAAGAGTAGGTGATGACAGGCCGAATTACTTGCATGTAAATTAGCAATTTTACCTCCGACGAAAGTCCTCCTCGCATACGGAAAAGTCTTTGTTAGGCGAAGTTCATCTTCTTTGCCTTTGACAGCACAAAATCCACGTGAGCCAGAAGTCAAAGGGGCGAAGTTCATCTTCTTTGGCTTCGACAGCACAAAATCCTGTCAGACTTCATCCTGTCAGAAACTCCGATTATTTCATTGCCAACTTTAATAGCTGTAATGTGTTTTCGGATGCTCTTCGCTGTTGATTTGAGTTTGCCCTTAAAACCACAGATAAACATTTTCCAACATTGAGATTGAGACCCCATTTGTTGAAATAGTTATGAAGGGTTTCTACGTACACGTTCAACCGTCTCTCCACTGATTTAGATCCATTTTCGCATTCATAAAATATTTTTTTATTTATACTTCTTCAGTTTCTCAAATACTTACATCGATTTTCTACGCGAACCATGCCATCGCCCGATTAGGAATGAACTGAACACAACAACTTCTCTACAGAAATCTTCTCGTCGTAGGGATATAAACTAATTTTCAATCGGGCAAGATAACGCTCCACTCTTGCCGATTTTAAATGTCGTTGACCGATATGGGCCCATTTTCGCAGTCATTAAACTTAAAATAAAATTTATTAATTACGACTACTATATTATGACAATCAGGGTGCGAAGAATGATTAAAATACACCCTTTCTCACGGGCGAGAATTCGGATGTTTTCAATTTACCGCGAATGATAAAGTTACAATGAATGAATAAGCATTTGCAATCTCTCGCGAATGTTCGCATCGTTTTTTTGTTTTTTTTTTTATAATAGCTTATCAGATCATTTTTGCATTGTTTATTATTTCTATATTTTATTCCAAATATTTATTATTAAGTATACACGTCAAAAAGCAAAACAAAAAAAAACATTGTTTTTAATAAATGTTTCTAAATATTTAATTTTAGCCGCAAGAACTGCAACACATCTACCGTCACCGTAACAAATAGAACACCGAACGGATTCGAACAACCAACAACAAAAACAAAATGTCTGACACAAACAGTGAAACATCACCGGTGACGCAAACTCAACCCCCACAGAATGGCAAAGAACGTTCAAAATCAACAGAGGAAAAGGAAATTCCACGCGAACCCGCCCTAACATGCAAAGACATTAATGTGAGTCGAAATAAATATTAAATAAATAATTCCAATAAATCCAATTTCTTAAGGCGAATACAGGCTATCAGATTTCAAGGGCAGTTTTTTCATAGATTTTTTATTGTCCGATAACTTGGGAAATTTGAAGACTGGCAAACCTGAAAGGTCATAATTTTCAAAAGTAAACATTTACACAGACCTATCTTTCGAATCGATAGTCTGTTCAACACTTAGGAGATTGATGTCCCTAGAAGTTTTACACAGATTAAACCCTTATTTTTCTTCTCTTATTCCCCTCAGATTAAGACTGAATTGGAATGCCTGGTAAAATTGTTGGATGGTAAAATCACCAAAGACGAAGAGGTGGCGATTGAAGAATTACATCAGTATTTGATTGAAGATGAAGGTTCATGGGCATTGGGTGATAATTTCCTGGTATTCGTACAACGTGTGCTGCGCGAACAGACCTTCTCACCCGATACCCGGATACATATGATTCGCACTTTGGCCTATGCGGCACTGAAAGATGATGTCATTATTATTCTGCATCAGGATCGTCGGGATCACACCCTAATGAATTTTGGTTATGACATTGAAAAGCATACACCCGAGGAGCAACAGGCATGGGCTATGTTTGTAAGTTAAAATATTCCGTCAATATTTTGAATATTTGTTAATAAATTCATTTTGTTCTTTATTTCTTAGATGTGCAATCTCTTCGAACATGTCAGCCCCTCAGAATGGCTGCTGTACATTTCCGAATGGGAATATATGGGCCAGACAATTTCAAATATTCGTGTGACCACCAAAGTTGCCGTCCATTGTATACTTTCAAATTGTCCAGCATTGAAAAATACCGGCACCATGATGCTCTATAATATTGCCATTAAGGAAGTTAAGACTGTGGTAGGTGGAGGAAAAAAGGATATGCGGTGCACAGAATTATTAACGCATATTTTTTCTATTTTTAAGGTATTCGACGATGTTGCCATCGAATTGGCCATGGCCATTTTGCAATTCTTCCAGAGCAGCCCGAATGAAGATCAAATTTTCCGTGCCTGCAAGGCTTTGGTTAGATTTTTGGAGGTAAGTTCAATACTTGATTTTTGTGAGGTATATAAATAACGTAGGGCATAATCAAAATGTGGAACCAGAATGGTAATCTTTTTAAAGAAAGTTTGTTTTAATATGTCCTTGAGAGGATAATTCTTACACCAGTGAAGCATTGATGAAAATTAAAAAAACGGGGGTTTTAGAATGTTTGGCATAATTAATCTTAGATTTTGCTTCATCCAATCATATTAAGATCTGACGTAGTGCCAAACCTCATGAAGAGAAATTCTAGAATAGTACATAGAATGATTCCCCTTCACTTGAATCCCCTTTGAATCAATGAACCTGCCCTTTAAACGGTCCAATCTCATGTGCATCATTCCAGATGAGAGTCACACCAAACATTTTTTTCTGAATGTAGTTCACAAAAATTAAAATCGCCTGGGAGGGATAATTGCAATGATCCTGCCCTTTAAAGCAATTATCCTGCCCTTTAAAGATCCCATCTCACCTGCATCATATTTAGAGCATGGATTGATGATTCCACTTTTCCACGAGCCATCCTTCTTCTATGGACAGGAGGAAAATTCGGCTATGAGAACCAAGGAACAAATCTTAACAATTAAAATCTGAGAGGGAATAGTAAATAGAGTTATTCCTTATTGTTCGAATCCCTTTGAATCAATGATCCTACCATCTCACCTGCCTCATATTTGGAGCATGGGTTGATGATTCCACCTTTCCACGAGTCATACCAAATATTTCCTTTTTTCTGGATGAAGTTCTTGGTTTGTCCTATTAATAGGCGGACTATAAGAAAGCGAACATTTGGCATTGAACGGTCCCGTCTCACCTGCATCATATTTCGAGCATGCTCATTTTTCTATGGACAAGTGGAAAATTCGGCTATGCGAACCAAGGCCTAAGTTACTTCCACATCCAATTTTGATCGGAACTCTGCTCTGAAGTTCTTGATTTGTCCTATAATAGGCGGACTTCGGCACTGATTCTAAGACTATAAGCAGGCGAAAACGCTCTTCCTCTTTAATTAATTTTCTTCAAAATACCCGGGTTTTGACTTTGTCCATAGACGAAAGTCCCAATTTTTCTTCTATGGACAGGTGGAAGTTTCGGCTATGCAAAACAAGGAACAAAATTTCTTGGCCTTGCTTGTTTCCTCATCCAATTTTGATTCATCAGAAGTCTCCTCGGGATTACTCATATACAAAATTCATTCCTTCCTAGCCGCTGTAAAAATTTGTCGGAACATACAGCTGGACAACAAACCGGAGAAATTAAAAAAAATGTCTTTCCCGCTTGCATTGCACCATCTTATAAACATAAATTTCTGTATATAACCGTTGAAAAACTCAACCGATTCTGAACCATCGGAGCTTTTTTAGGCATAACTTACACACAACAACCGTAGCGGATTGGGAATAATCTCAGCATTGTACCATCTTATTAATTTCTGTATATAACCGATGAAAAACTCATCCAATTCTGATCCATAGAAAGTCTTCTGGGGATAACTCACCCACAACACCGGCAGAGGATTGTGAATAATCCATTATGAATTCCTCCCGTATGCTAGTCCCTGTAGGATTTTTCGGACCACGAAATTGCCCCGGAAACCGAAAAAATCGATACTTCTCGTTTACGCATTGCAACATTTTAAGAATATAACTTTCGGTATATAACCGTTAAAAATATGTTTATTGGACTTGTCGGATCATACAGTTGCCCAGCAAACCGAAGAAATTTCGAAAACAACATTTTAAGGATATAACTTCCTGAATATAACCTAACGTTCTATGGTTATATGCTTAAAGTGATACCTGGTGGTGGCGCCACAACCACTCTATGGTGTTCGAATACGGACCCGTTTTGGGATTTACAAGGTTTTCCGAATGATTCACATTGTGATGGGTATAGCCTTCTTCGGGATTTTCCTATTTTCGATTCAATTTCGTGAGCGGATTTGCTTCCTCATCTGATTCCCATTGGAATTTTTAGTGTGATAACTTGTACAGCATCACAGACTCCGAGGAATCAATTTGTAGTTCATCCCGTACTCTGGTCGCTGTAGAATTTGTCGGATTCCTCGCATATGTTTATACCTTCAAAAATTCGGAAAAATAATTGTTCCCGGTCGAATATTATCTTTTGTACAAGGGACAGTAGGATTTTCTTATTTTAGACTCAATTTCTTGACAGGATTTGCTTCCTTATCCAATTCTCATTGGAGTTCTTCTTGTGATTACTTATACAGAACCATAGATTACTCCTAAGAATCCATTTATAATTCATCCCATTTGCTGGACGCTGTAAAATTTGTTGTATCATAGGTCTGGTCAGCAAACCGAATAATTTCAAGGCGGAAAAGCATGTGCCGATCTAGAATTCGAACCTAGGTTCCCAAAGCAACACAAGAAATGTTGCCAGACCACTTAGCGTCCTAACCCTTAATCTCACTTCTAAAGGATACACAAAAACATACGTATACCGTGGAAGCAATTGTAGGTGTGTGGACAATTATCTATCGCAGAACAAAAATTTGCTTTGAAAAGGACTGCTTCTGGAGTTGAGACAAAATGTCGAACCTTCTTAACTTTGAATTTAATTGGCAGACGTAATTTCGTAATAATGCCTGTTGAGCCTTATATGCCTGTTGAGCGGCATAACCAAAATTGGAATTATTCTTATATTAAGAATATAAATGCCTGTACATAAGTACTGAACAAATCTATGGTTAAATGAATAATTTTATACCTTGAGATGGCGCCAAACACTCTCTGCCTTCCCGTTTCGGGATATACAAAGTGTTTCGAATGGCTTCCTTTTTGATGGCTATAGACTATACCTTTCGAATGTTGGAAACATATTTGTTTCTGGTCGGATATACTTAATTAACATCTTCAACGAGGGCAATATATTTATTGGTTCATTTTCGACTCCTTTCGTGTCAGCAGGTCGTCATGTTAGCACGTTTGCCAATGTGTGTCGCACTGTTTCCACAGAGGCGTTGCAAGTGCTGCTTGGCTCCGCGCCGCTTGATCTTGAGGTGAGATGTATAAGCTTTAGCGCGGCTTGAGGATGATTGGCCCAGGCCTTCTGATCTGGTGGATGGGGATAATAGGCGGTACAGCACTATCCTTCGGGACAAAGGGAGGGTGACATACGAATTTATTCGTGACGCAACGTTGGTAGTGGACCGGCCAGACTTTCGCTTCGGCTTAAGTACTGATTCCTTACTGACGGGGCATAGTTCTCTCAATGCGTTTCAGGATAAAAGAGGCCTGTCCCAGACGAATGTATGTGGGTGCGGGATAACTGAGGACTGGAAGCATATACCGACGGAATGCTGTTACTATGATGACATTAGAGATTTAGCAAATATGGGTATATCGAATGGAGGGGCGGGTGGGATTTCAGTGGGGCTCTTGAAGGCGATCGGATCTTTAGTTGTTTAAGTAGTTTTGCTCGTGAAGCATTTATTAGAAGGAGCTGGAGGGCGTAATTCCGTCTGTGGCTTAGCCACCGTGAGGTAGGTCAATAGGCAGGTACTCACATAAATTTCTCCAGAAACTGTTCCAATCAGGAGGTCCTCTAACCCACATAAAACAAATAAACATATATGTGCCAAATAACCATATGTGATACATCGTAACATGTTCCTTTCCTTTAAGAACTCTTGTAGCTCCGTCTGCCGAGTCGAAGGTCTCGAAATTTCTTCTAACACCGAAGAACATTAAATTATAGATATTCATAAGCCATTTCACTTCACTTATTTCCAAAACCACCATTTTCATTTGGTCGCCAGAAGGTGCTTCTGTAAATTCCAGTCCTCCTATTGATTTTTGTTTCTTGTGTTATGTCGGTTAGAACCAACTCTCCTTTAACAACAATTAACAATAAAAAATAATCTGACAAGTAGACAGATGCGATCTATCATATCGTACTCTTGTAGCTGCATTTGCCAGGTGGACGGCTGCGAAGAAAATCTTCTAACACCTGAGAAAATTAAATGGACACGATTTAATTTGGGCTTTGCGTCTTTCATCTATGATACATTTTTTGGAACCAAAATATCGAATCAGTTATATGTGTTTCCTTCCTTGAATAAATTATATTAAACTGTGGGCGTCTTATTTCTAGAATTGTACATTTTGCAATCTTTTAAATTGTAGCAACAAACAAAAAATAATTTATTTTATTATGACGGAAAAACACGGTTCCTCCATATATACCTATTTAATAATTGCATTTATTATTATTCTTAATTACACAGCAAAAACAAAATTCTCTTGTTTTTCTAGGTATCACCCGATGTTGCGGCTATTATTCAAATGATTGGACCACATCCAAAACAATTTTCTGGTAAAAGTGAACGTGTCGATGACCTTATTAAAATTATCAGCCGTAAAGTGCCAGCCTAAATGTGGAGGAGGAGTAGGAGGACAACATGGCATTATGACAAAGACACGACACCCATCATCAGAAGCACCGTCACCACCATAATCACAACATATCGTACTTACTGCATACACTACTCAACTACTCTATCCGATCAAAATGATATCAAATATTTAATTAATTAAATCCTCCGCACAAGAAGCAAATTCGTTTATATTTATTAATTATTATAAGTTTAATGATGATTTATTAATTATTATTCAAAATAAATACATTTTTTATATAGAAAACATTTTTTTTTGAAAATTATTTTTAGGAACTACTCCTATTTTTTACCGATCTTGAGCATTAATTAAAAAATGAGATATTGTTATTTTAATATAGAAAGTACCCAAATAGTTTTTCCTTAAAAAATTGTATATGAACAACAGAGTTCCGACCTATACTTTCCTTAACCATGGTAAAGTTAATTGACAAGGATTCAGAGATTTTACTAATCGACGTTTCAAAGATCTGACCAATGCCTCAGGTTATAAAGTAGCAGTGAGGAATTCCCGAGGCATGAATACTCGAAGTGAGACCAAACTTCCCAGCAGATGCAAAGCAGACAACACCTGAAGACCAAAAAGTGAAATAACTCACGCTTGAAGTCAATTATGAGCAGGCATATGCGGAAAAAGTGGCCACACAACCTGAAATTTTGCAATATTGGGACAGGAACAAATAAATTGTGGACAATGGTTAAGCCACTCTCGAATCCTGGAAGGATGACAGAACGGCTGTCACATTTAGCGACGTAACGGTGACAGATCTGAAGAGGTTCTTTTAATCGACAGTTCATAGATCACCACTCAAGACCACTCAGCGTTCTAAACCTAAATGTTGCACAAAAACATGCGCATATTGTGGAAGCAATTGTAGGTGTGTGCACTAATATCCATCGCTACAAAAATCTACTTTGAAAGGGACTGCTTCTGGAGTTGATGTAAATTGTGGGACCTTCATAGCTTTGAATTTAATTGACAGATGTCATTTCGTAATTGTATTTGCAAAGTCACATAGTCCAATATGCCTGATGTGGCGCAAAACCAACCGTGAAACACCACACATAATGACGGGTGTGTAGATTCGCGCTCTGGCTTTCCCTTTCACTACAAAACTTCGATCTTAAGCTAAACTAGAAAGAAAAAACCAAATGAAATGATTGGATATGCGACCACAATGTAGGAAGGGCGATGTTGCAGATTGTATTCAAAACGCTAAGTTATCCAAAGCGTTGGCCCCGTTTAGACTATTTAACAGTTTTACTCAATTTGTCGTTACCCACCCATATTGTTTCTGAAACCTGGAAATTAGACAGGTTGGTTACGCTACTAAAGTCAGACAAGGATACCAGAAGAGGTAAATCGTGCAGGCTGATTTTACTTCTCTCCCCAGTAGCCGAGGTGATTGATGCATAAATTATTCCTCTCGTGAAAAGTACATTCAGATTTATATTATGGGAAATTTATCGCCTCAATTCTGTAGTTTGTAGATGGGAGAAATGGGATCCGTTCAGCTTTCTCGCCCACACACTAACAATTGCCGCAAATAAAATTGCCAACTGCCTAATGTGAATTAGGTCTAGGTTTCCAGTTGCCCAACATCAAAATGGATTTTGGAAGATGCACAGAACAGACCGTGCAATAGAACTTTTTTTTTTGGCTCTTAACCAATCGAAAGTTTTCGATAATGTCAATCACACAAAGCTGTTCGAGGATATAGAGAAAACCAACCTCCGACCTACTTTGAATCTATATATATATATATCGGTTTCTTGTTACTGAATTCCACATATGACTGACGTCCGCACATATATATATATATAAATATATATGTGCGGACGTCAGTCATATGTGGAATTCAGTAACAAGATCCGTAGAGTGAAAAATGGAGTCCCATAAGAACTTGCGATATCTTCGGAATTGTTCAATATTGTTATGAATATAACTTTATATTTAAGTTAATTTAGATGAATTCTGTTAATTTAAGAATTTGAATTGTAACGTAAATTTCTACTACGCAGTCTATTCGAATAACTTCACAACAACAACTACTGTATAGATTTTTCTACATCCTTCCATTTCCTCTTTCATTTTCTATTTTGTTATTGACGTACAATTCTTGTTAAACGTCATCATTGATGATCGCTTAATTCCTCTTTCTTTGTTACTCCCTCGCCTGTATATGTGTTGTTGTGGGTGGTGGAACCAGCAGAAAACATAAACAGTAACATCCTAATAGCGAATGCCCTGGTGAAAAGCAACAAGGACGGATTGATTTCTGTTAGAGTTTTGAACCTGTCAAACAAGCAAGAGCAAAGTTGGACAATGCACACCAGCTGAAGCTGTAATCAATTTGGAAAATAGCGCCGAAAAGCCAGCAGCCATGGAGAAGAAGCACCTCGACGGCTACATAAAAGAGTGGACACACCAATTATCACCTTCCGAGAGGAACAAGGCTAGGCAGCTATTATGGAAATATGCCTCTACCTTTGCGTTGACAAAAAATCACCAAGGAAGAACATCAGTGGTGAAGCATGAAATCTATACAGCAGACGTGAGACCCATTAAACAGCCTCCAAGAAGTGTTCCCCTGGCAAAAAGAGACGAGGTCCAGAAGCTGATAAGTGAAATGGAAAAGAGTGGTGTAATAGAACCATCTTCAAGTCCATGGTGCTCCCCAGTGGTCTTGGTCAAGAAGAAAGACGGAAGCACCCGATTTTGTGTGGACTACCGAAAGTTGAATGATGTCACCAAGAAAGACAGCTATCCGCTCCCAAGAATTGACGACACATTGGATACATTAGCCGGGACGTCATGTTTCTCCACCCTCGACCTGCAGAGATTCTTCTGGGTCGGCTGTCAAAAATCCATTGCCGACTGGATCGCCAATTGTGAAAGGTGCATAAGAGCTAAAGGTCCAACACGGAAGAGTCGAGGCTACATGCAGCAGTATAATTCAGGAGCCCCTTTTGAAAGAATCGCAATGGATGTAGCTGGACCGTTCCCAATTAGTGACTCTGGGAACCGGTATGTCTTAGTGGTCATGGATTACTTCAGCAAAAGGCCAGAGGTTTATGCTATCCCAAATCAAGAAGCCAGGACAATTGTGGATGTGTTCAGCAAAAATTGGATTTGTCGCTATGGTGTTCCATCGGAGGTTCATTCCGATCAAGGTAGGAATTTTGAATCAGCGATCTTCAAGGAAATGTGTGACTCCTACGGAATCAAGAAAACCAGAACGACGCCCCTACATCCACAATCAGATGGCATGGTGGAAAGATTCAATCGCACCCTGGAAGAACATCTACGGAAAGTGGTGGACAGTGGCCAACGAGACTGGGATGAGCATATTCCAAAGTTTTTACTGGCTTATAGATCGGCCATTCATGATTCCACATCCCGGACCCCAGCCGAAGTTCTCTTCGAAAATGAATTAAAGCTACCTGGCGATTTGATATTCGGTGCTACCCCAAGATGAAGACAACCAAAACTCTTTTAGTAAAGTCGACGATGCAGTTCGCCATCGAATAAAAATGGTTAGCAACCGCATGAAGGCAAGGTACGATCGAGCGGCAAATACCGATGGGTTTCAAGAAGGGCAACTGGTTCAATCCACAACGGAAAAAAGGACTATGCCCCAAATTGCAAACACACTGGGAAGGACCCTACAAGATTGTCACGAACATAAATGACGTCGTTTATCGCATCCAGAGGAGCGACAGTCCCAGGTCGAAGATGAAAGTTGTACATTTGGAGCGGCTGACCCCCTACGGAACGGGAACTGTGCCTATTCGGGACGAACAGGCTTAAGCGGGGGGCAATGTTACGAATATAACTTTATATTTAAGTTAATTTAGATGAATTCCGTTAATTTAAGAATTTGAATTGTAACGTAAATTTCTACTACGCAGTCTATTCGAATAACTTCACAACAACAACTACTGTATAGATTTTTCTACATCCTTCCATTTTCTCTTTCATTTTCTATTTTGTTATTGACGTACAATTCTTGTTAAACGTCATCATTGATGATCGCTTAATTCCTCTTTCTTTGTTACTCCCTCGCCTGTATATGTGTTGTTGTTATTGTTCACTCAATGTAAGTTTGTAATCTAGGTGTTACCAGATCGTCTAGAAACTTATGCAGCGACAGGCAAGGCTCATATAAATAGGGGAAATGGAAAGGCAGTTAGTCAGTTGTGAATCAGATCGCGAATTGAAACCGTCAAGTAACGTAAAGCTGCAAAGTAACGTGCAAAGTAAAGTTGTGTCAATAAAATCATTGTAATAATCGTAATCGGAAAGAACCCGCGTTTTATTTAGTACGAACTGTATTGGGAAATAAAACAACGTCTACACGGGATTAAGTAAAATCCAAGAACGTAACAATATGTTTGGAGTAATATCAGATTCCTTATTTAATTCGTCCGAGTATTTTTGCAGTAAAGATAGAAGTAAGAAAAAGGTCCTTGTTGACCTTTTGCAACGCAATAGATTGGTCGGTGATAAGTTTTGCGCCGTCGGTGTCGTTTGCGAATGTAAGCGATAAGGAGTGGAAGAATATTCAAAACTGTCAGAATGTCGCTTTGAAAACTATAACAGGATGCCGCGGTATGACACCTGTGGACCATGAGGATGCGAAGGTCTTACCCATCGACACTACAGGATATTTTCAATTAAGTGCCCGCTTGGGTGCTATCGTTAGAATTATCCTTGGATAAAATTCCCCTCGAGGATATAATTCCCCCAACCAGGAACGTAAGGAGAGATCTTTACGGCCTAAAGGACAAGAGATAATCTTTAGATCAACAGGGCTATCGGGCAGAAATGAATACAATTCACACGAAAGCAGTGGTGCAGGTTGGCCACCAGAACTCAAGCGCCGCCCATGGTGATGGTGTGGGCCGCCATAACAGCCGAAGGTTGCCGAATATTATCGCGAAAATATTCTGAAGGATGTATTAAAGCAGTGAAGCTCATATTACTTGCATTGGTATTTTTATGTTACTCTCCCGCCCAT